GTCTAAAAGAAAATCCGACTTTTCAAGCTTTCCCATGAAGACGCAGAATGAGATAGATATATAAACCACACATAAAAAACAGTAACTGGAAATGAGTTTATGAATTGCTTAGATAGTTTTCATTTATTCAGTCTTGATGAATGATAAGCAATCAGCTATGTGAACTGTCCAAAGCAAGCAGAAGAAATTGCTCCAGCAACAGCTATATTTCTGGCCATTAACCCTCCCCCTTTATATCAGTCTGCCTAATGTAAACCAGGATAATCTATTTCTGTAGAATGTCAAAACATTAAATCCCATCTCCCATTATCAGAGAGTTAATGCTGCTAGGAATTATGGCAAATCTGCTGATGGTATAGAGAGAATACTCCAAAACAAATTTTCGAACATGAACTGAATTATTTGCTCTCATAATTATTAGTATGTTTTTCAAACTGTAACAAACCATTTGTCTGAATCTACACTTTCTATTTCTCAGGAGAACACAAAACTAACACTTCCAAGAAGCATACACATTTACACTTGCAGCAAATGTCTGATGATGGTGTTTAGTTCTCCAACAAGTGGAAGTTTTAAAAAAGAAAATCCATGTGTAGAGCTTTTAAAAATAATGAACAAAAAGCAGTGAACAGCTTTCTGCAAAATAGTTCCAGAAATGGGAGGGAATACAAAAGAAAGCCTAGACTAGAGTGATGGAAAAATGGATACAATTCCCTTATAGCATTTCATAGTAACTTGGGGAAACCTATTTAATTTGGAATCTCTCATTTTTGTTTAACAAAGTTTGAATCTAGTAGCACCTTTAAGACTAACAAAATTTTATTCACGGTATAAGCTTCGGTGTGCAAGCATACTTCCTCAGATAGTGATCCATACAAAATTTCCCCTAACTTTCTACCTGATTATGTTTACTGACCACTGACCAGAGACCTTTTCAGAGGTTATGTTTGAGGATATCCACACACATGTACACATGCTACCCATATTGCTACCCATGATCCTCCTGATAGGCATGGTCACCATTTTGGCTGAATACGATACAACGCATATTTTCCAGCTTTGGTATATGGTACTTACAACCAATGCTCCTTCTAAGCTGTGGAGTCTTGTGAGCGAAAATTCTACCTTGTGAGCTACTGGCATTAAAGTTGTGAGCAAGAAATTTGGCTACTGCATAAATTAGTTTGTCCTGGAGCCATCCTTCCTGAGTTAAGACAAAAATGTGTGAGCTGGAGGCTAAAAAACTGTGAGCTAGCTCACACTAACTCAGCTGCCTTACAAAAAGAAGAAGAAGGTTTCATTTAGTGTATAACAAAACTGGAAAATATGCACTGTGACCTATTCATACAAAATGGTAACCATGCGTTTCAGGAAGATCATGAGTAATAATCTGTCAAATATAACATCTGAAAAGGTGAAAGCATGAGTGCACATGCACACTGATTACATAGCTTAAAATTGACTCTTCTTGATGCAATTTGTGATCACACCAGATTCCTGTTTGTGTTGTGATTCAATTTAGGCCTGTAATCTTATTCATGTATTTTGGTAACTTACAAGGAAATAAAATTAACTGAAAATGCTAATCGCAATTTTTTTAGAATTTGCCTAAATTAAACCAGAAATTAGGTAGAACTGACCATTGGCTAGAGTCAACCCTACATATGGAACAGAGGATATCAGCCCATAAGAAGACCTCCGCCGAAGGACGCTACCATCTGGTTCCAGCAAGACCCGTCACAGACAAAAAAGACCTATGCTGCTTAGGTGCCTGGTAAGGCACCCATCTCCCCTGAAATATATGTGGCCCTAGCTAGATGATTAAATGTATATATGTAAACTGCTCTGAGCCTCCAGGAAGGAGTGGTATAGAAATGTGATGAAATCTCTCCCTTATAATAATTGAATAGCAACGTTCTATTTCGCAACATTCTAAATTTGGCCTCCTTAGTGTTAGGCCGGAAGAACTGCCACTCAGAAGACACTGGCTGGGTTGACTGGCTGCTTTGTGCAGTCCCACCCAGCGTTCCAAGGTCATTTGCATATGGAAGCTGATTGGACCTCACTCCATTCCACACCTCAAACTCACCCCCCCCCGCAAGGCAGTTGGCATTTTCAGTTGCATAACATACCTCATAGGGGAGAGG